CTCCGGCCACGCCCTGACTGGCCACACCTCCCGCTCCGGCCACGCCCAGGCTGGCCACACCTCCCCCTCAGGCCCTCCCGGTCCTGCTCACGCCCCAGTCCAAAGCCGCACCCCCAAGGCACTGAAGACCGCCTGGGGTGGAAACGAGAAAACCCACTCTACTTCCTCCACCCCAGGGATCCCGGGCTGAGGCCAGGCGAGGGGAGGGGTCGGGAGCCCCGGGTCCCACAGTGGGGTGCCAGTGGCCCGCTGGTTCACAGCTGTGTCCGCGATGGTCTGCTGTCCCAGGCCCCACAGGACGACGGCCTGGAGCGTGGGCAGGGCCAGGGGGCAGAGAGGTGGATGGGGAGAGCCGGGCTGCGGCTGTCCACCCCGTACCCTCAACCACAAAAAGCCAGGCGTGGTGGGGACCGCCTGTCATCCCAGCACTCTGGGAGGCTGAGGCAGGAAGATCCCCAAAGGTTCGAGGCCAGGCTGAACTGCATACCGCGAAATAAGTAATAAGAGGTGAGGGCGCAGATGTGGGGACAGGGCGACCCATGCCCCCCTTGCAGAGCGGCAATAAGATCTCCCTGCGGACCACGGCACTGGAGAACACGTCCATCAGGGTGGGCCCGGCACGCAAGGACGCGGCAAAGGGGCGCATGGCGCGGATTACATGATAGTTGTCTTTTTATAATTCTGAGGAGCCTCCATACTCTTTTCCATAATGACTGTACTCATTTACACTCCCACAGTGTGAAAAGGTTTCCTTTTTTCCCACACCCACAACAGGTCTTCTTTTCTTTAGTCTTCTTTACACTAACCATTCTTACCATGGTAGGGAAATATTTCATTATGGTTTTGATTTGTATTTCCCTAATGATTAGTGATGCTGAACATTTTTTCATGTACCTGTTGACCATTTCTATGTCTCTTTTTAAGAAATTGCTCATTAGATCTATTGCCCATTTTATAAATTGTTGTTTTATTGTTGCTGTTGTTGTTATTGCTGGGTTTTTTGTCTTTTGCTACTGAGTTTCAAAGAGTTCCTTGTATATTCTAGGTATCAACCCCTTGTCAGGTGTATAGATTGCAAATATTTTCTTCTCTTTTAAAGTCATTTCTACACTGCTGAATGATTCCTTTGTTATTCTTTTGTTAAAGCTTTTCGGGTTTTTTTTTTTT